GACGTGGCTCAGAGGGGGGCTCTGCAGTGGCTGCTGTCTACAGTGACAGCAACCTGTCACTGCAACTGTGTAGGGGAAATCTCTGGCCTGGCCAGGAAGAGCCACTTTTAGAGGTGGAGTTAAATGTGGAATAATGTATGTCAGGGGCATTTTCTCTGACCTGTCAGCACCTGTTGGCTAAGAAATTGCCAGGGTCCTGGCTACCCCTTGCATTTGTTGCTAATACAGGATTCATTGGCTTCATGTGGGGCTGCCTTGCCACAAAATCAGATTCTAAAGCCTACGTTATTGAAAAGTCTCCATAGCATAAGCTAGAGCACCAGCTGGATTTGAGAGTGGAATCCTACCCCGATTGCAATCGATGGCAAAACTTCAGTGGGGTGAGAGTTCAACCAAAGAGAACAGTATGTGCAAGGCCGGACTTCAGCAGATTGGGGTCTGTGAACCCACACGCTCTCCTTTCCATTTCAATTTGTAATTGGTTTGTGCTTCACATCACAACTGCCTTGCTTGCTCTTGGAAGTGTTTCTGATGTGCTTTGAGTTTCTGCAGCAAGAAACCTCCACCCAGCAATTCTGGCCCTCATAGCTCAAGGAAATGGAGTCTCCCTTTTTCAAACCCTTTGAATGATGTTTGCCCAGTGCACTAAATACCCCCTCCCCCCCCTTTTTGCAAAACACAGGCCTGGAGCCTGAGCACCTGCTTCATGCCCTCAGCATGACCTGCAGGCTGTAGCTGTTACCTATGTGCAGGAGCGTGCATGTTAGTTGTGTTTCTGGAAGGGAATTTTCCCAAGCATGTCAGCGCATCTCCCTCCAGCCCAGGAGTGGAACCAGAACTGAACCTGAACCCTAATTTTGTCCTACCTGCTGAACTGGAACTGATCTGGAAAAAAAATTGAGTTACCAGTTAAAATAAAGGTTCAGCCTCTTTTTTTTTTTTTTAAGCTCAGTATTTAAATTGATCTTATTTTTGTTACAAAACAACCCTCAGGCATGTGAGTGCTGAGGATCTGTTCTCCGCAGAATGTTGCCTTCGAGTCAGTGCTTAGAATGATCAGCCCTTGGTGTTGTCATGATTTCTCCTGCTTATTTACTGAACACGCCCTGATTCTGCAGACTTAAGGCTGGGCTTAATTTAAGGCAGGGTGTGCAGCCCCACAGAGGTCAATGGATCTGCTCACAATGCGTAGGGTTAAGCCCAGCATAGGTCTCTGGAGCATTGAGCCCATCTATAATAACAGGATCCATACCAGGAGCTAAGCCTACGGCAGCTTGAGTTAGCCCCAGAGGTGGAGCTGGCGCCTCTCTCTGCGGTACATCTTGCTACCACCCGCTGTTTCTCAGCACTCAGATGCCCGGTTTCCATGTGTCTGTTTCCAGCCGGTTGGGTTCTCTGTGTTTGTTTATTTTGATCTGGTTTTGTGTTGGTTTCTGTGAAACCAATCTACTGTAAAGAGGAGGCTAGCTGCAGTGGGAGGAGGGAGGCGCTGGCGTGAGACCATCGTGTGCTAGGGCTTGTTGCTCTTGGATGGCCGTGTGCGCACCAGGCTGCAGCAGTGAAGCTTGTCCCATCTCAGAAATCAACTGGATTTTCCTACCAGTGCCTCCTCCCATTACTTGCCTGTAAAGAGCCACTCCCGAGATGAACAGCTGGGCAGCGTTGCATTTTGTCCCCAGAAAGCGTGGAAGGGGAGAGTTTTAGTGACTCAGACCTGGTCAACCCTACACAGGTAGGTCGACGTAAGGCAGCTTACATCAACCTAATTATGTAAGTGCCCGACTACACTGACCTAACTCCACCTCCACGAGAGGCGTAGGGCTTATGTCAGTGTAGCTAATGCCACTAGACTCTGCTGTTACTTATGCTGTCACAGAATCATGGAATCATAGAATATCAGGGTTGGAAGGGACCTCAGGTCATCATCTAGTCCAATCCCCTGCTCAAAGAAGGACCAATCTGTCATTCTTGTCAATTTCATGGGTTCCTGCTGGAGTTGTGAAATTGACAAGAAAGGCTGGTAAGTTCCCTGTTGTCAACCTTGCACCCAGCTCACAACTCAGGCTTTCACCCCGGGGTGGGTAGGAGGCTCCAGCTAGAGCCCTGCTGCCCCCGGGCTCCCTGATCTGAGCCAGACTGCCTCCCAGACTCCCTGCTGGGAGCCTGGTGGCTACCCGGACTCCAGGCGCAGAGCTCCCTGCCAGGAGTCAAGCGGCTGCCAGGCTCCCAGCAAGGAGCTGCACCTAGAGCTGAGGGCCCAGGAGCTGGCAGCCCCCCATGCTGCCCCTTTCAAGTTGATGGAAGCATTCCCGGTGAGGACACACACCAGCCCCAGAAGGAGAGCAGTGTGGATGTGAAAATCCACAGTAATTGCTGCGGTGCCTGTAACTTGACTTAAGTCTATAGCGTAGACGTGTCCTCAGTGTTGGTATGTGCTGATGGGGGTAGTGTGAGCACTCTGTGATGACAGGTACAATCCCTTCCCCAGCCCAAGGTGCCCTGGCGAGGACTTGGGCCAGGGGGGCCGCACTGGATAATTAGCAGGGGGAGGGCTGACTGACACTGGATTTGTATCGAGGAATCTTTTCATCCACTGGATCAAAGTGCAGATTTGGGTGTGATGAAATAGGGAAGCAAAACACACCCCACTTGCCTCTCCTGTTGGCTCATTATTTATGTTAGAGCTGTAGCCAGAGCCCCTGTCTGCACTCAGTCTCCTGCTCCTGTCACTGCACAAGGGGACCCAGTCCCTTCCCCCAGAGCTAACAGGCTCAATGGACGAGCCTCACACAGTGGGAGGGGAATTGGAGGTACAGCGAGGTGACGCCATGAGGCCAAGGCCTTACAGCAGGTCATGGGCAGAGCAGGGTCTAGAGTCCAGCTCTTGAGGCTGTGACTGATGGAGTGAGGTCTCTTCCAAAGCCCAACATCAGCTAAGCTGAACCATGGGGTTCCCCTACCCCAGGGGCCGCTGCTAGGTGGCTTTGCCTCTACAAACCACTTTGGCTCATGTCTGCAGGGGACCCTCCGAGGCATAGGCCTCTTATTCCTCAGTCTGATTCCTCCCCATCTCAAAGCCCTCTGTGCGCCTGCCCACAGCGTTTGGCTTGCATAGGGGAGAGTTAGAGCTTCCCCATGGTGTCCCTTATGGCGGGCTCCATCATATAGAGCCTCACTTGTGCTGCTCCGAGCACTCGCCAACGCACTGGTGGCCCTGGGAGAGCCCAGAAAGGGGTCTCATGGCTGCCAGCCACTGCTGCACAGAGCAGGTTGGGGGGGGGGAGCCAGCACCCCTCAGGCAGTTCTTAGGACACTGGCATTTTCCAGTCACCCAGCTAGCGCCACGCTTGGGGGCTGGCCTGGCCCATCTAGTACTTTGCATTGCTGGGGCCTGTCAGCCCAGGGCTGCTGAGTGTTGCCCAGCAGGGGAGCCTGAGCCATGGGGAAGGGAACAGAACCCAGGGGTCCTGCCTACCCCCCCCCCCCCCCCCCCGTGCACTAATCACTAGGCAGCACTGTCCCTGGGCACAGAGGGTACGTACATGTGTGTGATGGCTGCAGCCTCCCAAGGGGAATGTTCTGCCACTGGGCTATGTACCCTGGGGTTGTGCAGTCACCAGCCTATTCTCAGGCCTACGGCAAGGCTCAGGCCCAGGCTGGGACTGGACAATTGGATGGCCAAATGCACAAGGCAATGGAGAAGGGACAGCTGCTTAATGAGGTCTCCTCATGCAGGGCTGTATACACTCACACTGTGAGCATGGCTCCAGCAGCTGCATGGAACTCAGCCCTAGCTGGTGGGGCGCTGCAAGGCATGGTGGGGTCGGTGGTGCTCACTGGCTGGGGCAGACCAGAAGCGGGATCCCTGTGGGTCCCACCCATTCACTTAAAAGGAAGCGGTGCCCATGCCCGCACAGTGCCATCCTGCCTAGTCTCTGGCCTGTAGTTGGGGATCTTGCTCGGCTCCTCCTGGGCTCAGCTTCCCTAGCTGCTACAGGGTGGACACAAGGCCCAGCCAGAATTGGCCGAGACAGGCCTGGGCCCATCTTTTTGCCTCTCAGATACTGCCCCTCATCACAAAGGTGCCAGGCCTGGCTGGTGGAGCGACTGTGGGGGTGGGCAGGCAGCCCAGGTGGCTAGCAAGAGGAGTGGTGCCTATGGCAAGGGAGGAGTCTAAACCCTCAGTTAGTGGGTGGGGTGAGTGTGTAAGGAGGGGCAATGCCTGTGTGGTGTATGCGGTGGGGAGGGAGGTGAGAGGCATGTCATGGGGGTGCTTAGCTTAGGGAAGAAGGGGGCTCTGTGAGGATGGGGCCTGGGAGATCCCAAAGTGGCATGCTGGCCTGGCTGAACCAAGTTGTTTTTGTGCTTTGAACCTGCTCCCCTCCCCTTCCCCCCCATGGGGTTCCCTGTTCAAGCTGCTTCAGGGGCAGGCAGGAGCCCAAAGCTTGGAGCACAGTGAAGGGGCTGCACCAGCCCAGCAGGGAATGTGCAATGGGGCAGCCGCTTCCCTGTACGGTGTGCACCAAACACTACCCTAGTCAGACATAGACACCTTCTGCTCCTCCTCAGCCAGGGGCACCAGCTGCAGGTAAACTCCCTGTTGCCCATGACCAGCCCACCTGCAAAGGCACCCAAATGTTCTGACCCAGCAGCCCCTCCCCATCATTCTCACACTGGTTCCTTTGCATGCCCCCCACCCTCCGTGGAGGAACGGGCAGAGTCACACAGGACCGTGTCTGGTGCCACCAGCCTGCCAGAGGTGGAGTGGCAGGGGGTGGCTGCACAGGGCCTTGCTGTCTCTTGCCCCTCCTTGGCCAGCACGGAGCCTGCAAGTAAAGCCCCACAGGCGGAGCAAGCTTCCATCCACTGGCAGTTTCAGCTCTTTATTGTATCAAGGTCCTGGCTACAGATAACCATTGTCTTCCCATGGGGAAAAGCTCAAGGAGCAGAAAGAGGAGAAAGATGATGAGCGGGGGCACAATTCTCTCCCCCCCCCCCCCCCCCCCCCACGCTGCAGCTGTGTCGCCAGGCCCCAGAGGCTGCAGGAGTTTCAAGTGTCTAAACACTGGCACTTAAGGAATCCAAGCCGGGGCAGTGGGCTGCTCTCCTCCCCTGGCCGGGCCGAGGGCTGTGGGTGGCGTGGCGGAGCCGTGGTCCAGTTCCAGTGGCGTCACTTGGGCTGGGATTAGTTTAACAAGTGTATTTCTTTAACTTAATATTTTTTACACTGTATTTTTGGTTGGGTTTTTTTATGAGCCGTTTTCAATTTTGGCTAGAAACTGCTGCGCCCACCACTCCTCCAGGTCAATCGGCACAAAATCTGAAAGAGAGGAAGAGACTAGAACAGAATGCATGGAGAGAGGAAGCACAGTTTAACAGCACTCACATTGGCGTATGGCAATTCCCCCAACTATCACGGGGGGGTGATATTGAACTGCAGGCAAATCTTTTCTCCTGGCCTCTCACCACTGCCCCTGTTTGAGCTGAGGGAATAATTCCCCTGCCCTGGAGCACCTCCCCTTCTTTCAACCACAGCAGATCTGCTCCCCCGCTGGCTGCTGCAGCTGCCTGCACCATGGCTCCCCCAGTTCTTTCTTTGGGCTGCTGGCAGTATGAAGGACGCTACAGAAACTCCCCACCTGTTCCCTTCTTAGCATGTTTGATCAAAGGTCTCCTTGTTCCTGCCATGAAAGCGGCAGCCTTCGCTCGCTGGAGCCATGTGACTGGGCTGCCAGGCGTGGAAACCTTAGCACAGTCAGTTTTGGAGGAGAGGAGCGTGCTCCCCATGGGACTCTGACCTTGCCTGCTGCTCCCAGGAGAGCCCTGGGCTTCCTGGCAAAAGGCTTCCCCAGTGACTGAGCGGGGACCATGTCAATGGTGCTCATGAGTGATCTGGCCAAGAGCAGAGTTACACATTGCTGATGACTCAGAAGGGGGCGCTCTTCTCCTGAGCCAGATCTCACCCAATCCGCTGGCATGGTGCTGGTGGGGGCTCCCCCCTCCCAGGTGCCACTGATCCAGTGCGGTTGCTGGAAGAGGGGCCATTTTACAGAAGAACCAGAGAAGGGAGCTCCTGCTGACTTGGACTGATTCAAGGTCCCAGGGCCCTTTTCTCCAGAGCAGCGGACGAGCCCCCGGCTCCTGGGTAACGACATGCTGCCCTCCTGAGGACCTCTGCGCTGCAGCTAGGAGCGAGCCGCCTGGCCAGACCCACTCACGCTCGCCGAGTGCCTGTTCTGGCTGGGGCTGGCACTCAGACTCTCACTGAGGGGGGCTGGCTGGGCTTCAGAGCCTGAGCTCCAGCCCACACTGCAACATCCACTCTGCTACTGTCAGCACGCTAGCAGGAGTCGGGCTGGGAGCAAGCAACTGGAGCCAGAGAGCGGACAGTCAGCACCAGAAGGGGAGAGAGGGCAGCAGGCATTTGAGGTGAGAGCAGAGGACAGGAAGGGAGGGGGGCTGGGGAGAGAAGGGGAGGGGGCAGCAGGGATAAGGTAGACCCCACCCCCCAAGAAGCCCAAATGCAGTTGGTGGGTCGCCTAGTAAAGAGCTGGGGCTGCACTGGTCTCTAGGAAGCCAGCCTGGTCCACCAGCCAGCACGTAGCGCTTCCTCTCCTGCATGCTTCCTGTGCCGAGGTATGTGCTGCCCCCTGCAGGTGGCTCCTGGACACTTACTTGTCAACACGGGGTTAGGAGTTTTCTCTGCGTATTGCACCGGGCCATGCCGGCTCTCCCCTGGCCGGCTGCCATCGAGCTGCTGTTCTACCTGCTGCCAGGCTGGAAGGGAGAGCGAAGGTGTGAGCCGCAGGTCCTTGGGGGGAGCCACCATCACACAAGGGAGCCTGCACTCTGACTGGTCCAGTACAGGCACCGCCAGCTCTGCTGTACGTTGGATCCCCTCTGTGCTCCCCAGCTCCCTACAGCCTCCTCCTCCCCCACCTCTGCCCAGGGCTACAAGATGCTGCCCCAGTGCCTGGCTGGGGGCAGGCAGGTTGCTGCTGAGTGACAGGCGGTACCTCCCACAGGTGTGTCTCCCCCTGCACCCCAGGGATAAGCTTTCCCTGCCTGCCCTGGAGAGTGCTGCTGCCCATAGAGCCCCCAGACTCAGACCCAGGAGAGGAGACATCACTGGGCTGCTCTGGCCACCGCACTGTGGAGATGCACCCTGGAGCTGGTGACAGCCTTACCAAGGGAATTGCCAAATGCCCATATGTGGCAGGGCAGGCAGACCTCCTCCCCCACCGCTAATAGCCGCCACCCCACACACACATTCCCAGCATCCGAGGCCAGAAGGAACCACTGGGATCATGGGGGCTGAACTCCTGTATAATGCAGGCCAGAGAACGGTGGCCAGACACTCCCTAGAGCAGATGTGTCAGAAACACACCCAGTCTGGGCTGAACAACTGTCAGTGCTGGAGAAACCCCCCACCCCCTCGTAACTTCTTCCAATGGTTAATTCCCTCACTGGTCTGGCTTCAGCTTCCAGTCAGTAGACCCTGTTTGGATCTTTGCTAGACTGAAGAGCCCATTATCAAGTATTTGTTCCCCAAGTAGGCACTTACAGACTGTGATCAAGTCACCTTCGCTTTGTTAAACTAACTAGACTCATGGAGCTCCATCTGTCACTATCGGACAGGTTTTCTAAACCTCTGATCAGTCCCATGGCTCTTCTCTGACCCCTCTCCAATTTATCAACATCCTTCTTCAGCTGCAGGCACCAGAACTGGACACAGGATTCCAGCAGTAGTCTCCCCAGTGCTGACACAAAGCAGTAGCGTAGCTAGGGGGGAGCAGGGGGAGCGGCCCCTCCCCCACTGAGTACAAGTGGCGCCTTTTTAATTTTTACTCTGAACAGAGGGGGCAGACATAAAAAAAAGGCGCCACCTGCTGTGGCGCTTGTACTCACCGGGCGGCGCTCCGGGTCTTCGGCGGCACTTCGGAGTGAAGGACCGGCCGCCGAAGTCCCGGAGCACCACCCGGTGAGCACAAGCACCGTAGCGGGTGGCGCCTTTTTTTATGTCCGCCCCCCCACCCCCGTTCGCTCCACCTGGCTACGCCACTGGCACAAAGGTAAAATCATCTCTGCTCCTACTCTAGATTCCCCTGTTCATGCCGCCCAGAATGGCATTAGCCTTTGAGCCACAGCATCACACTGGGAGCTCGTGTTCAGCTGATTATCCACCAGGACCCCCAAATCCCCACCCGGAGTCTGGGCAAGCAAAGGAGAAGCTGGCTGCAGGATGTTTGGATCACAAGAAACCTCCAATCAACATCCTCAGGTGAGCAGAGACAAGGGATGTCATGGAGGTGGCAGTTTGCTGGGGGAGTGAGAGAAGGGCCAAGTCACACAACAGGATCTTTACCATGGGTAAGCACGAGGAACCCCCAGCACTGAGACACCCCTATGTCTCCTCTACCACGTTAAAGCCCCCGGGAACTCCTGGCACTGAGACACCCCTGCATCCTCTCTGCTATGTTACAGCCCCCGAGAATCCCCAGCACCGAGACACCCCTGTCTCCCCTCTGGTCTGTTAGAGCCCCTGGGAACCCCGAGCACCGAGACACCCCTGCATCCACTCTGCTACGTTTCAGCCCCTGGGGCTCCCCAGCACCGAGACACCCCTCTGTCCCCTCTGCTACATTACAGTCCCTGGGTACCTCTGGCACTGACACACCCCTGTGAGACTGGGGTTTACAGAGGCTTCCCTTCTCTCTCTGAACTAGCCAGACCCTGCTATGGGGGCCTCTTACTTTCATAGACAAAGCGGACATTCTCCTCGTGGGCCAGCGTGTAGCTCTCCTCCGTGGCTGCCGTGGGCTGTGTCGTCACCAGGGGCCTCTTGCCATTCACTCTGTTGAACACGAGTTTGGGAGTTGGGCTACTGAGGCAAAGAGACAAAATCAGAGGCCGAAAAGACCGATCTCTCTGCATCCAGAGCCAGTAAGCTGTAGGATAGGGGGCAGAGGGCATGGTGTAACGAGAGGAAGTGGATTTTGTGGCCGGACACTGGGACTGGGAGTCTGGACTCCTGGGTTCTATTCGTTACACCCTGAGACAAGTCACTTTGCTTCTTTGTCACTCAATTTCCCCTTCCTTTAGCTGTCTGCTCTATGTAGATTAGCTCTCTGGGGCAGCACCTGTCCCTTTATCTGTCCAGCACAATGGTGCCTTTTGCTCAGGTGGAAGCTCTAGGCATTAGTGAAATATAAACACGGTGAGGTGATGAAACCATGATTAACGTTTGCAGTCTCTTTCTTTAACTAACAGCCTATTGCTATAAATGATCAAATTCAGTACATGGGACTTCGATCATTTACTGTTGGGGCCACTCTTTCTGCCAATACACTTTTCAGAACCTCAGCGTGTAGACCACTGCTATGGCAGAGTCACTGCACTATGAGTTTTCGCTGGGAAGGAAAATGTTGTCATCGTCGTAGGAGCAGCAGAGCTGGCAAAAGAAACCAAGCCAGAGGCATTTCAGCTGGTGCCTCATCTTTCCCTGGCCTTCCTTGGCCAGGAAGTGAAATCCTCGATTGCTAGCTTCCAGCTTCACTATGCAGCGGCTCACCCCCAATCCCCACTTGGTTTAATAGATCTAGACATTAACCTTGTCCCTGCAGCAGCATCAGGTGTGGGCACAGTATGTGTCACTACTCATTCAAGCCAGTAGAAGGAGCCCAAGGGCAAAATATGTCAAGTCTGTAGGTGCCGCTAAAACAGACTGCTCCTAACTGGCTGGGTTAGAAAAGCCCAAGTCAGCCCAGAGACCCAGCCTGATGGTCTCTAGTGACATAGCTGCAGAGACGGTCACAGGCCGAACATGCCCTGGGAGAATATGGGCTTTGTACTCTGAGGCCAGGTCTGCACTAAAAAGTTAAACCCAGCCGCATCACTCAGGGCCTGAACAATCCTCACCCCGGACCAAACCTAGCCCCCAGTGCAGACAGCGCTAGGTTGATGGAAAAATTCTTCTGTTGACCTAGCTGCCGCCTCTCAGGAAAATGACTGGGGAACCCCTGCCATCAGCGTAGGTAGCGGCCACACTGAAGCACTCCACATGTTATCTCCAAAGGAGTTGAATGTTTTACTATAGGTGGAGCTGGGAGCACCACCTAGAGTAAAGGTTGCCTGATGCTTCCCAGTATAAGCTCCTGTTTTTAGTTGCTTATAACTTTGCCAAACTTCAAGCTGTTAGACAGAAATTTCCCATACTGAGTGTCTGCCTTAGGCTGATTTTTGGGGGGAATATTTTATCCAAAATGGCTCAGATGTTTCCAGTAATGAGGCTTAGGAAAAATATGTTTAAAAAAAAAAAGTGACCTTTTCTTTGAAAAGATTTAGCAGGGCCCCCATCTGCTTCGGAGCCATGATCCCCTGCCGGGCCTAAGCAGATAGAGGAAACTGTCTGATTTGAATGCAGAAGTGACAAGGGGGTGGGGGGGAGTAGTTTGGGATAAAGGGCCTGGGCTGGTGGAGAGAGACTGGGGCTAGAGATGGCGGGGATGGAAGGGAAAGGGAAACTAGAATTGGGAGGTGGGCTGGGGGGAGACTGGGATTGCATACCAATGGGGTGGGGTAGGGGGAAGGAGCGGAGGGAGCGGGGACACAGATCTTACAAGGGGCTGGAATGCAGGGGGAGAACTTGGACTGGCTGGGCAGAGACTGGGACAAGGAACCAGGGTTGCAGGGAGATCACTGAGATTGGATGAGAAGCCCAGGAAGGAAGACTGGGACTAGGATCCAATGGGGACGGGGGACTAGAAGCTGGGGTGGGAGTGAGACACAGATCGGATGAGGAACCAAGAGGTGGGAAAGTGAGACTGGCCGGACAAGGAGACTGGAACTGGGCAGCCCAGAGGGGGAGACTAGGACATGCTGGGCAAGGAGACTGGGAGGAGAAGCCTGAAGAGTGGGATTTGAAAAAGGAAGCAGGTTGGGGGGAATGGGCAGAAGAGCCTGTGCCCCCTAAAGCGCAATCCCCTCCAAAGCATAGAATGGAACCCACAATTCCTGAGTCTCTCAAGTCCTATGCTGTGAGCCAATATCTGTGAAACCCATTGGCAAAGTGTCCCATACCTTTTTAGTGCTGGACCCACGTAGAGGATAACCACCTACCACTGCTATCAGTTACCTCATTAGCTCAGTGGCAGAGGTTTGTGCAGTACATCTAAAGGGTCCAACCCTGCTGATAAACCATGTAGGACTAAATATGATGCCACTTGATGGTATTTCTGGGGGCAGTTCAGTTTAATTTTTTTTTAAAAACTGAGGAAATTACACACAAACATGCTATCTTACAAGAACATAAAGGTTGCTAAGTCATGCATTCAGAAGATAAGACATGCCAGAACTAAGGTTGCCCATGCAACCTTAATTTGGCCCCTTCTGCATTATGGTACAGTCATGAGTTACATGATCACATGCTATTTTTCCCCATAGATCCTAGAAGGTGGAGGGCTCAATGAAGGAAAGAGATTGGGGTAATATGTTTGAAACTGGAGTAGCTGCATCAATGTAGACCACACTTTACACCAGAGGTTCCCAAACTTATTTGGCCTACCGCCCCCTTTTCAGAAAAAAAAATTACTCAGTGCCCCCCTTTTCAGAAAAAAAATTACTCAGCACCCCCCTGGAAATCTACCTTCTTTAAGCGAACAAACAGAAAGATGCAGTGACAAATTTGCGTTCTTTTATGTATCTATATTTCTACCTACGTCCTACAATATAGTAAAGAAAGATGTGTTATTAGAATATCGTCCACGACATCAGGTATATAGTGGTTTTTGCGTAAGACGGCAAAAGACAACCAAACTAAAATACTAATGAAACTAATAAACTGGGTTTTGTTCTTTGCTCAGCATTAGATATATGTATTTGATATTAAATTGTCAAATATCATACTAAATTTATCAAGAAATAATTAATTTAAAAAATAATCAATATGCAATTAAAAATCAGTTAGTTTTAATTTAGTTTGCCCTTATTTAAATAATTGTTCCTTATTAACACACGACTTATTTACCAATTAACACAGATGATTTGATAGATATAAATAAATGTTAATAATTAAGTTTTTTTACGATTTCATTCCCGTTTTCGTTAATATTGTAATAAAAAATGACAAATATATTGACTGTACACTTCAAATAGTACTGTATCCACACAAGCCTGCTACGATTTTATTATTAGTAAGCACTAGAGACACAAACATAGATATGTAAGAAAATGTATACAAATACTCACGTGTAAATTGCTGTTTTATTGAAACAACAATACAATTTGCTTTGTATGTGATCCGTAAAGATCGAAGGTATCGAATATGAATACAAAATTTTAAATACTTATTGCACTATTGTTAACTGCTTTTTACACAATTCAGAAACAATCTAAATTAGATTTCATACATGTCGCCTATTTATAGTATCGTATTGTAAACAAATCATTACACGCACATATTCCTGCCGATGCATGCTGGACTTCCCGACAATGCGCGACACGGTCGCCTGCCAACACTTGCTTGTTAAGAGCTGTTGGCAGACTTGACACCTGATCGGTTATAATTTGTGAATTTATTTGGAAAATAAAGTAATCACTACAACTTTAACTCTATGTTACACAACAGATGAAACATGTACGAACGGTTTTTCAAAATTTTCTTATATTCTCTTCTTTCTTTATGCTTCCACCGCCCCCTTATTTTTATTCAACGCCCTCCAATTGCACCCGAGGCTACTACTGCCCCCCTGGATCGTTCCAGCGCCCCCCAGGGGGCGGTATCGCCCACTTTGGGAACCTCTGCTTTACACAAATGCACCAAGTGTGCAAGAAGGGTCTAAACCAGCGTAGCTACTAGAATTGACTGGGAATTTGATGGAAAATGCAGTTTCCACCAAAAAAAAACAAAACAAAAAAAAAAAAAAACCAACCCTGATTTTGCAAAACTTTTCAATTTTCTGTCAGGAAAATAGAAATGAAATACTGTGTTTCAGACCAGTTCAACCCAGATTGAAATATTTCAGTTTGTTGAATAGAATCAAAGTTTTTCAGGTCAGTATAGTATTAATCTCTTGTCTGCTTGAGCTGTCATAGTGTCTCATGGGAACTGTAGTTTGGATACCTTATGCCACCATTCTTCTCTATTGAATGGCATCTCTGACTGGACTACATCTCCCATGATGCACTGTGGTGGGCCCTGCAACTGAACCATTG